TCAGGGTGCTGCTACTAGCACCCAGATCAGGCCTGCTTCCTGCCATTATGGGCCTTTCTCCCTGCTCCTTTACGGTAAAATTTATGACCCATCTATAGCAGGTTGCTTTGCCTCATGGGGCCAAATCCAGTGGGTCAGAGTTCCCTCAATAGCCATACCCCTTTCCCCCATCTCACCTCTTTACCCTGATCACTAATTGTTTAGTAATTTCCAGAATTTTTATACATGTTTTCTCATTCTTAAAGGTTGAAATTCCTCTCCTAAGGCTTGGTTACAAGCTTTAATTAGTTTAAGCTAAAATATGTTGGTACTTTGGTCCTGGCCTTTTTTTGCTCCACTTACTACAGGGAAATAGAATTCAGTTCTCAAACGAGATTGGCCACCCTGATATATTGTGCTCATTTTCAACTGGTTTCTCTGAAACACTGTTCTTGATTTTAACCATTAGGCCAGCAGCAGTTTTTCTTGATCAAGGTAGTTCAAACCAGTTCCACTCCCCAACAACAAAGGGTTGTGCCTCTTAAATTTTTTTAATGGAACTTGTAGGTTCTGGACTTGCCCTGTTCTGGATACATTCAAAGTGTTTTGATTAAACTGTACAGTCAACCTGATGAGCCATCCACACTGCTACTGAATAGCCTCTGCCCCTGTCAGGGTGCTTGACCAATTCCATCCTTGTTCCCATGGCCTAGAAAATGATTTTGTATTATAGGCAAAGGCAGGTCAGCAGCAACGTTTAATAGTCTTTCCAAGTCCTAGCATATTTGATCTTAAAATCAGCAATATTGTTTTGTTTGGGAAAGGTTCCACACAAATCATAATTTGCCATTCTCTGCTCCATATAAAAGTGTCAATAAGGGCAGTTTCATGATATAATACAAGCCCAGTCAGTGTTTAACAAGCAAGGGATGTAAGAACGAGCCAATGACATTTCTAGAGATTTTGCCAGCCCAGGATACCCAGCCTTCCTCTCATTTTCACAAGCATCAGATTCATTTTTATAAGAGGCACTACTAGACCAATGTGTACACTGAGATCCTACAAAAATATATTGGACTGAAAAATGATCCAGGAAGCAAATACAAAACCCTTAAACATTTTCCCAGGGTAAATGCATAATTTCTTTCCTTTGGTACTTATTGCACAGTGCAACAAAATGGCAGATCCATTTAATTTGAATTAAATGACTATCCCTCAAGAAGGACAAGAGGTTCAACCATATTTCAAAAACAAACTTTAAGAGACCCCATAAAAGCCTGTCAAATCAGGATCAGAGCAGAAAAGCTCAGAGACCATTAAAAGTAATGAAAGCAGGGATGATTTGCTGTATTTCCACTCTGACAAGAATTTTATGGAAGCTTTTCACAGGCACAGCGAACATTTATGATAGCAACCCTTTATAAAGAAAAGTTAATTAGCTTAATCGAATTGAAGATAATAAATGTCATTGTCCAACAATGAAAATCAATTGTCAACATAAGTTATGGATAATGCCTAATAAAATGGTCCTTTGTAAATCTGTAATAAGATTGTCTTCTGCATTAAACAAGAGATGTAATAAAATTTCTCTCCTACATCCAGGCCATCTATTAAAGAACTACTTTGAGTCAATGACCTTTGAGAAGCAAATTTCTTAGTAAAATTTCCATTTCTTATAAGTGAATTATATTTGAAAAAATATTTTGAAAGTTAGTATATACTAATTTTAATTAGAGAATGTGAACCCTAGAAAGAAATGATAAACTAAAATTATTTTTCACTTAACCGTTGCATAAGGGTACTGAATAATGAAGTTACAGCCACCCAAATGTATGTGAGAAAAAATTCTTTTTCCTGACAATTATGCTTTAATATTTAAAAAGGACTGGATCCAAATTTACACTGAATTGAGAGAATTAGACTTCCCAGCCCCCCTTCTTCCCAAGGCAGCCCCTCCAGCCCACTGAAAATGTTATACAAGGTCAGCAGAATCTGCTCAACTGGGTGACCTGTGAATTGGGGGACCCTCAAAAATTTAGTGGAGGAACCTACAGCAAGTTGAGCAGTTCCATTTGATAGGTTCTCTTTTCTCACTGAAGGCAGATCTAGGATCCAACTCAGATAGAAACACAGAAACAGAGCGAGTCAGAAGGGGTCTCCTGGGCCAGCTAGTCTGACCCCCAGCAATTTAACTTAATAAAAATTACAGTTTCATTTGTTTAAAGCTGCAAGCCCTTTCAATGAAAATATATGGAAAATAATTGTTGAAATCAAAGTCAGAGTAACAGCAGAACAGGATGCAATGCCTTAAAACTCTATTATTGTTATGGATCTGGGGAAGTGTCTTTAGGGTTTAGAATTTGTTTTATTTGCCAAAATAGTGCCAACCTGAAGCACCTTCACTTAAGTGAGTGGGTAATGTCATTTGTTGCTCCTCCTCTGATAGAAAACCTAACTCTAGCCCTGAGTCCATCTACAAACCAAATGAATGGTAAGATGTTGAGAAGAGATTTATCTTGTGCTTCTTGTATTTGAGAGCAATCCATACTGGGATGGAATCACTGGAAAGTGCTGACATGACATCAGGCCTGCCCATGGAACTCTGTACGAGGTCAGTGAATTAAGCTAAAGGCTTAAGATCCACCAAATATATGAATGGGGGAAGCAACTGGTCCAGTTGTTAACAAACACCATTTTCAGGATAAGTGCAAGGTCAAGCTACTCCTGGAAGTGAGATGACTTTTGGCTGATGACAAGGAACCTATGATCCCTGAAATGAGTACATTAGCTAAATAACACCCAGGGCTTTTGTCTAAGTTGGACATTCTACTGATCATGCAAACTTCATTTGCATGATAATAGCATCCATGAGCTATAAAAGCACCCTCAGAACAGAAGCCAGTCCAAGGGAAAGGGTTGATTATGAACTGCTTCATGTCATACAAAAAAAAAAGAGTCACAGCAACCTATAAATTATGCAGATACACTAGCAGGTTGTAAGGTCAAAGCAGAGTTCCTCTAATTAATGTTCTCTAGGACAACCCCAAGCCTCTTCATATAAACATTCAGTAGCCTTAGATACTTGACATGTCAATTAAGCCACAATTTAATTAAACCTGAAGTGTGTGCTAGACCTGCACTCTTTCTCCTTTCCATTCAGCAATTTCAGTGCTTCAGTTCTGATGAAACCAAAATTCACTGTAACATTAAAATGATGAAACTGTGATTTTATATAACTGTTATATGAAACGGGATATAAATGTTGTTGTTGTTATTAATAATACGTAGTTTACTGACTGGAATTAAACCATAGTTTCAGCTGCTAGTTATTAAACCAACATTATGAAACAACTCCCTGTTTTGAATGCAATGAGAAACTGTGGCTTAATGAGTCCAGGATCAAAGCACCAAAGCTGGCGCATGGGCAGAGGAAAAGTGTGGGTGCAACAGTCAGTGCTAGTTTACTAAATCATGATTAATTAAATTAGGAACATTACACCCAAATCCACTGTGGGTTGGATCCATACCTAATCATAGTTATAATAAACATATAGAAATAAGTTGGACTTAAGCTTGTCACAAATAATTTAAAGCCATTAATTTCAACTGGTCTACCCTGACTAAGCTTGGATGCAACCTTTAGCTCTCAACTGAGGATAACATGTAATGCTGAGCCATGATTTGTTTAAATCATGGTTGTTGCCCGATCTAGGGTTTGCCTGGCAGATGATCAAACAGATTGTGCTTTGTTTTCACAGTTCCTGGGCTATTTCCCTTCCCTATCAACTGCCTTTGTGGCAACACAGTGGTAGCATGTAAAGATGCCAGTACGTGTATAGTGGGAGTAGGGGGAACGACTGCTCTTGTCTGATAAAACAACCCTCAGTTTTGGGGTTGCATGTGGGCCCTCAACCATGGTTTAAGCAGTTCACAACCCAACAACCATTGGTGTGGTTCACAATTAACAACACAGAGGACACACTTGGATGATACAGCAGCCCATCGTGGTTAACTAGGCATGCAAACATCAGGCCTAAATCTAGCTCTCCTGTACTCACTGGACTTTTTTCCTATGCTTGGCCCTGGCAAACACTCAAAAATGCTAGCGTCTTTTTTGTGCAAAGTATGCAAGGCCCTGAAGTCACAGCTGTGGAAGCAGAATTCTGTTTGCGCAAGTGTGTAAAGGCTGGCCTTACACACCTGGACCTGCTTCCTGCTAGATATCCATACTAATGCTTAAGGTAAGGTGGACTTAAGACAGAAAGAAAGTGGACTGGAATCTGGGATGCCAGGTCAAGGAATCAGATGGATTCCAACCCCCAATCAGATTCTTCACACATCACTATTATTAGTTAAACCATGGTTTGCTGTTGCATGCAGACCAAGTTATTAAATGTTGGTTAAGTTTCCTCATAACAATTGTGGAAAGCCTAGGAATCCCTTTGTTAAATTGTCAGTTTCTTCTTCTGATAAAATACAATGATTTCATAGATCTTGGTTTTTTTAAAATTACAGTATATAACTTGATCACCTGCATGTTTAGTGTCCAGAGGTCAAGACCACTTTTTTCTTATACAGGTATGAAAGGGTTTTTTTAACATTCAAAACGGCATTTTTGAAAAAACGATCAGTGCTTGTTAATGAAAAGTACACATATAGCATGCTTGTCAGTGAAAAGTACACATATCGCATAGATATTAATGTTTTTTTCTATTCTATGTTGTTTTTATACTTTGTTAACACTGCCCAGAGAGCTCTGGCTATGGGTGATATAGGAATGAAATATAGGAACGAATAAATTTCTTCCAGTGAACTGGAGTCTGGTCCACAAATGTTTAAACACAACATTTTTTTCTGGTGTGAAGTACCACATTACTGTTTTAAAAGGTGCATTAGTCCCAGGCAAGACAACGGTAATTTACTTAAAATAAGCCACATGGACTAGGTATGTTCAGAAGACCTCCATTCACACCTCAGCTATGGATGCCAATTACTCTTACAGAGAGAAGTCTATTAGTAAGTACTATTAAGGTCTTTATTTAAGAACACTAAAGTAGGATGTTTTAAAATTTGAAAAAAAGGCAAATGACACTGTATAAGAAGCAGCCAGGTATTATTACATCTTTTTACAGGTAACCTGCAACACTATAATACTACATACAGAGCTCAAGCTGATAAACTATGCAAAACTAGAAAGGACGAAAGAAAGAAGGAGGTGGTGCACAGTTAGTTTTGTGTTCTTAGAGGATACTTTGATTTTGAAAGATATGTGTCTGCTGAATCCTCCTTGGCCCTTTCCAGGAAGATTGCTGGTTTGTTCTCCTTTTCCTTTTTGACGCTCTTTTTATGCTGCAAAGTTAGAAGACACAAATTATAATTTATTCTCCATTACACACTGTGCTAAAAAGCTCTGCACTAATTCCATTTTCTGGAAATCTCTGTACACAGTTCAGTCTATCAACTGTTTTGCTGAAATATGGTCTTATATCTCATAGATGATCAACAAGGTAGCATGATTAAAACATGGTATGAACATATAGCAAAATGAGGTGACAGAACAGACTGCTTTTCAGGTGGCAGATACTGACGAGTTTTTAAATATGGGGAGTATTTAAAAATGGTAAAGGGCTCTTTTATTAGCAGAAGTTTCAATCAATAGAATGGAAAACAACTTGTAATTATGGGTAACTTTTATGAGATTTTCCCACACCTCTGCAACACCACTGCTTCTCCCCAGATCTACTCTAGAGGTTTGGGGAATTCTCCAAATCAATGTGGGTGATGGCACAGGGGGCTGGGTGAAGCACTGTCAAAAGTCACCTCCTTCCCCATTTTTCTAATGGATCAGAAAAGCTTCTATCAGCAAAGGAACACCAACCAGAGACACTTGGTTTACCCATGCAGTACAGTGAGGTGGTAGAAGGGAACTGAGTCAGGAACGGCAGTAAAATACATTCCAAGATCCTATGCACAATTGTTTCCAAACTACCTTAGAAAATTTGGATTTGCTTTCTGTGTGGTAAAGCCTATAACGATCAAGGTGGGACACTGAATTTAGTTTCTCATCCTTATGCTAAAGCATGGATGATCTATAGCTTCATCTGCAACAAGTCCTATTGCCTTTCTGGGGACAATTGCTCAAGATGGGGTGTCAAGCCTTAGGATATATCAATGGAAGAGCAGCTACTAACCTATCTCCCAAAATCATGGTGGACTCAACTGTATTTTCCATAAGAAGGTAGACTAAAACGTATTTGCATTTGTAAGAAAGAAAATTATTGGCTAGAATATTAAAGCTCTTCTAAGTAGTTAAGAAAAAATAAGTTAATGAATCCTATTTAAAAATTATTAATTAGGTTGGCCATCCAACATATAACTGTATGTACTCTGCTTGCTTCCCATACCCTCTATACATTATATAAATTTTCCTGCATTTTCTTTCTACTAGACACAAACAAGGGAAAGGAGATACTGAGCTCTGTAGTCCCACTACTTAAAAGCTAGAAATCTTACTAAGCCCTCACTACAGCTTTCGATAGTAAACGTTTCAGCTTTTCTTTGAAGTCATAAGAGCTAAAGACTTTTAAAAAATTAAATGAAAGCTGATTGTAAGGACATTCTATTCAGTACCAACTCTATAGCCGTACAACACTGTTTAAAACCTTTTACTTATTTTCATTATCTATGGATTTTTGCTAAGTAGTCCACTGAAATTCTAGCATTACTCTAGTAATAGGCTGCTCTAAAAATATAAATTGGTACTGCTTCTATTTCTGACAACTGCATGCCAATGTTCTCATCGCTATATTGTCTCCTTCAAAGCCAGTTTTACTATAGCACAACGCTAGGCATTTCTACTCAAAAGAAAGCTCCACCAAGGTCAATGCTCTTATGCCAATATTAGCGTGCAGGCTACAGATTTATCTAATCTTTTACAGTTCCAGTGCACCTGTATACTGAGCTGCATGTGTCTCCTGATTATATTTAGCCCTTCCAGAAGACTGTTAGCCTTTGCCCTTCTACTTGTATCAAAAAGATAGAAAATAAACAGTTACCTGGAAGAAAGGCACACCACCACTTGTCTGAATACACACACTTGTCTCCAAATAAGATTTTTCACTGAATGGGCACTCACTGGTATCCCTTATCTCCTCTTCATTCTCCGAAGAATCCTGAAAACACAACAGTTAATCTCTACATTCACTGATACAGCAGGTTATCTACAAGTTAAATGCACACTACCAAAGTATTACAGGAAGATACCTCAGTATCTGATTTGTTCTACATCTGTATACAAGTTTTAAACAACTCACTTTGGTTTGTACAATTTGCAACACCCAGTCATGTTTCTGCCATTACGCATCCCACCTTTGGAGAAGCAATTTGAGGCACATTTTTGTCTCTATTTAATAATTTCCACGAATACCTGATCCAGGACCCTGGTAGTCCCATTTGTTGCAGCAGCCTGCAATACAGCTGTTAGCTCTCCCTGCTTTTTTCTTAACTTGTCAAGCAAGAGATCACGGGGTTCTGTTTTCACAACTGTCAGTGGGTAACAGTAATCTTTCCTTTGTGGGGTACTTCCTTTGAGGAGGAAAAAAAAAGTCTAAGTCATCTTCTACTTTTTGGAGCAGAAATCCATTTTCACTTAAAGTATTCCCTCCCGACTGCTTTTTCAGTTATCTGTATGTTCATTCCTCTCCCCAAATACCTGTTGGGATATCTACTTTCAGTTCCTCTGACACAAAGCCATTAATTCGACTTAAACCACCTTCTGTTTCTTCAAGGAGTATCTCTTTCTGGTTTGTAAGTACATTCTTATCGTTCTGCATCTTGTCCAGGATCCTTTTGAGGACCACCTGTTCAGTATCTTTTTGTCTCTCAATATGGTCTGTGACTTCAGCAATTGATGTATTGCAACTGGCATCTACATTCTGAAAGCAAAAAGGATGTCTTAAGAGAACAGACCTATTATACTGGCAAACTTTTGTTTTGATCATAAGGTATTTTCTACTGAGTGTATGACAGAAAGTTCCTTCTAGTAATCTAACAACTCCCCATACTTTTTAAAAGCAAATGTATTTATAGTTTACAAAGCTTACAGCTGCTAAAAAATAAGCCCTCTGTGGGAGAGAGAAGCTCAAAGAGCTCTTTTCTTGAGTGTTTCCATGATTAGAGAGACATGTACAACCAGCCAAATGGAAACACCAGCCCTGAGGAACACAACTTTTTTGATGGTAGTTGCTTCCTTGTTAATATATGCACAAAAGTAGTTTGATAAAGGATATCTTTAAAAATAGGAACTTTTAAAAACTTTGCTGGACAAAAAGGTGTATGCCTGGACAGCACTCAATATGAGACAAGTACTAACACAGATTACATCACACTACTAACGTAAATTATGTCATACTGATGTTAGGGACTTCTAGCACAATTCCTACAATGTTAAGAGGCATGATAGGGTTCCACCAAAAATCCATTGCATCATTGCATTAGAAGTTCTTTATGCTAGGGCTACATAATTTACATTTGTGTTCAGATCTCCTTGGATGCTGTTCCATGTTCTCAGAAAGCCCAAATACTTCTGAGGTAACAACAACAAGAAGGCTGGTGGCAAACCTCCCTTTCCTGGGTAAATTCTTGAGGCAGTATGGATGTGGTCGTCAGCATATAATTCTAGCTGATAAACATAGTCAGTCTGACACTTGCTTATAAGGTTCAGACTTACCTTACAGATGTGTTTTAGATGTTCTTTCCCGCTGTTGAGGAAGGCACTCTGTTGGTCAGCTAGGCAGACCATCTTTTTAGTTGCAATTTCAGCCCAGTCACTTGTTGCTTGGCTCACATCTGTCAGGCTATTGCCCAGGACCTTACAGTGACTAGCTGCTTCCAAGAGTATCTTAACATTTTCATTGCTGGAATGCCTGATTTCTTGGATAAAGTCATCCAGAGGCTGGTTAAATAAGCTGTGCTGGGAAGCTGTAGAATTGACAAGGCCAATACTTTGCCTGTATGAATGGATTCATCAATAGATTATTAGAACTGTTGATCTAAATACTTAGTCACTTAACTATGTAGCAGGGTGGGTTTGCTATCCTGGGACTATCTTCTAAAAATTTGTGAATAACAAAATCCTGAATTGACATAATCATGCATTTGTACAGCAGTTGAGCAAACTGCCAAGTTGTAATGCTCAGGTAAGGTACCAGAGTATTGCTTCCTTCTTGAAATACGGAAGCTGGAAGAATGACATATTTGTAGTTCAGTCCCGACCACTAAGCTATACCAGCTTACACCAAATGTATCTAGAAAAATCACAGTCTTAAAGATATCACTGTAATCAAGTCAAAGCTACCCAACTCTTATGATTAGTAGCTGAAGTGAAGTCAGTAGCTGAAGGGAGAGTGTATTCAGAAGAGCCAATATTCTAGATGTTTCAGGAATTTTATTTAATCCAACTTATTTATACTCACCTTTTTACCCAGCAGGTATATAACACAGTTTACAATAAGTAAATCTCTTCCCAGCTAAATAACAATATGTCATACGTTGTTTTTTAAACTCCTATACAGCAGCATAGGAGATAAAAAGCAATTTCCCATAGGCTAAATGGGAAGACACATGAGCCTCCCAAGAGATGGCTGGGATTCTGCTATTGAAAAGTACTTGCCCCTAATAAAATCCCATTAGTAAAGAGAGACAATTAGGATAGTAGACAACTGGACCATCTTAAATCATAGGGAAGGCCTATATGCAAAAAATGTACTCTACTTGTGTCCAAATATGTAGTAAAATGGCTGCATATTTGGACACTCATATTTATGAGTGAGATAAAGCATGAACATTGGTTAAAATTTACATTTTGTTGTTGGTTTCATTTCATATTTGATTGTTTCATGCTTACTTTGTAAACCAATTTGAGAAGTTTTTCTACCCATAGTCTGGTTCCCAAGTCTACTGGGCAGATCAGAGAAAGTTGCCCCAGCTGGTCTAGAGATCCTGGGATACAAACAGCTAAGCTCCCAGTGACCAAAGTGAGTGAACAGGGAGAGCTAACAGGATTCTGGCAGCAGAGTTGTGGTGGAAGAGGAGACAAAGGTGGAGGCAAACAGTGAGAGGCCTGGATTAGCCCAGCAAGCCATCTGTTCCAAGAGCTCATGTACTCCTGAGAGCTGCAACTGAAGCGGAGCGGCCTGATTACCAGCAGCAGCTGTGTGGGTGATAAGATTCATTCCAGTTCTGATTCCTAAATGAGCAGACACAGGTGCAGCACCCATGTGTGATGCACAGAGACTGTGAATAAGAACAGAGGAAGCCATCCCTGCTGATCTAGGGACTATGGGATACAAGCAGCCAAGCTCCTAGGGAGTGAGTGATCAGAGTGAGCTAACAGGAATTTGGTGGTGGAGTCAGTGGGAGAAGTCTCCACCCACCTCATTTTCTTCCTTGTAACACCCTCCCATTTCCTGGTAGGACTGTGTTGTTAACATTCAGTTAATACTCCTGTTAGAAGGAAAAAAATGACAGCACTAGAGCAGTGAGTGACTACCCTCAAGGCAATAAAAGATGATGAGTTTTTAGACAGAGTGGTAGAGCTGCAACAGCTAAGAGTACAGAAGCTACAAGTACAACAGCAAGCTGCATCCTTGGGAGGAGCTTCCATCCTTCCCCCCAGTTCCACTGAGACTGCCTATAGGTCCCAGGACCAAGGAAGGAATGTTGTACCACCTGTGGTTCAGCCCCTGTACCCCTTGCAGAGCGGGGCTAGGTGCCTTCAGTTCAACACCCAGTGGGGTCAGTGTTGAAGAACAACAGTTACAGCTAAGCAACACGAACTTTCTTTGTGGTCTCTGTGCATCACACATATAGGCAACTAGCAAACTTAACCTGGAGAGAATGGTGTTGTCACCAGAGTTGCAGAAAACTCTTCTGCCAAAGGGGCATTCTGCCCTTTCCTGGACATTTAGTCTGTAGGGTCTGAAAAACTGACAGTGTGAACCATGTAGCTGCTCTGCAAAGATCCTGCAAAGGAATTCCTGTGAGGAGGGCTGTGAACATTCCCATCATTCATGTGGAGAGGGCTCTTGGATGGCCAGATCAGTTCATAGGGTGGGAACCAGCTAAGTTTCCTCACTGACACCCTATGGCAGAGTTTCAGCTGTGAGGGTCTATAGTATAATGTGCTAATCTGTGAGATTTAGAGGGTTGATGTTAGGGTGGAGTATTTTGCTTAGGTCTCATGATATCAGGCCTGGACTGTAAAGGAGATGGAAGAATGTCCTGTGACAGAGCTGTAGAAGTCAAGCAAAGCGAAAAGATGCAGCCTGGTGCTCAGTTGCCACTCTTTCATGTCAAGGCTCATGCGGTGAAGTGCCTGCATATTGTATTGCCTGGACTTTTGTTAATTACACATCCCCTGGCTTCTCAGGTGACCACAGTTGCTCCCCATCCTGATAGCAATATCTCTGTGGTGACAATAATTGATGGTCTGGGGGTGAGAAGATGATGCCTCTTGGCAAATTGTTAGGATTGATCCACACATGGCAGCTGTTCCTTGCGTGTGGAAGGATGTCAAGGGATGTCATGTGTGGGTTGCCCAGTGATGCAGAATGCATGGATAAATCACTTTTGAAAGGGTCACACTCAGAGCTTTGAGAAGGGGACCATTGCTAGTTTCGTGGCTATGAGCCCAAGCAGCTTTTGTATTCTGTGGGCCATAACAGTCACTCTAGTGCTGAACTTGGTGGCCATCTTGATTAGTGCAGATGCTTTGGATGTTGGAAGAACTTTCTCTGAGCATGAGATGACAGGCATCTATGAAGGGGATGGGCTGGGGGGGTGGATTGCTTGTGGTTAATACAGAACCCCAGACTGTAAGAAAGAGCAGGTGGTGTAGATGAAGTGTGGTAGTTCTGTCTTAAATGGTGCAACTAGGAGCCAGTCATCAAAGTACAGGAAGACTTGTACTCCTTGGCGGCAAAAGTGTGAGCAGACCACTACCATGAATTTAGAGAGGGCCCTGGGGACTGCTGAATGCCCAAAGGGGAGTACAGAGAATTGGAGCATCTCATTTCAGTTTCTATATAGCCTGGAGTGTCTGATACTGCTTAGCTTTCCAGATCAGGCAGGATCAGGCCCAGTTAAAATCTGGATGGGTGACTTAAAATGTTGTAAATTGCCCAGAGAGCTTCAGCTATGGGTGGTATAGAAATATAATGTAATAATAGCAGCAGCAGCAGCAATCATCATTTCCAATCTGGAAATGTAGAAACAGAAACAGAACAAGTCAGAAGGGGCTTCCCGGCCCATCTAGTCTGACCCCTGGCTCCAGCCTGCTCTGCTCACGACATGCCCACCATGTGCACATCTAGCCTATCCTTGAACACCCACTCTCACTAATGGGGCCTCAACCACATCCCGTGGAAGCCCAGTCTACACCCTCGGGATCCTAACTGTCAGGAAGTACTTCCTGGCATCTAAATTGAACCTTGGTTCCCTGAGCTTTGCTCCATTGGAGTGCATCCTGCCCTCCTCTGCAGGCGAGGTCTCTACCCACCTCTGCGTGACACTCCCTCACATACCTGTATGTTTCCAACAGATCCCCTCTGAGTCTCCTCTTCTCCAGGCTGGAGAGACCCAGTTCCCTCAGTCTTGTCTCATACAGCTTCCCCTGCAAACCAGCCACCAACCTTGTGGCCCTACGCCACACTGACTCTAACCTGGCTATATCCTTCCTGTAATGAGGGGCCCCAAACTGAACACAATACTCCACTTGCGGGCGCACCAGAGTCGTATAGAGTGGTAGTAATACCTCTCTTGATCTAGAAACTACACTTCTGGCTATGCAACCAAGGGTGGCGTTCGCCCTCTTGACCACTGCATCACACTGCTGACTCATGTTTAGCCTGCAGTCAACCAGCACCCCACGATCTCTTTCACAAGTGCCGCTCTCCAGCCACTTTTGAAAGGGTGCCTTTGATGCAATCACAGTAGATGAGGAAGGCAATGAGCAGAGAAAGGACTGGTAGAAGGATACAAAAGATCAGAGAGAAAGTGAGTAGGTTTTGTTTTCTTTTTTGGATTTTACAAATCAAGAGTAAAAATATTCATGGAGAGATGGTGGCTGAATAGGAGCCAAAGAGTAGAAAATGGTAGAGATAAAAATGTAATGGATGCTAAAAAAATACTCAAGTTGATCAAGGCATGGTGGTGATGGAAAAGAAACTGAGGCAATGCATGGGAGCCCCTCCCAAGGCCACAAGGTTCAGGAAGGGGAGGGGCTCTCACCCAAACTAACATTAGCTGTCCTGACAATAGATTCCGCACAGGTGCAGAGGTCATGCACAGAGACCATGAAGAACTGTCACTTCAAGAGTAGCAACTCTTTCCAAGGTCTGTAAGGCTCACAGCTAATGATGAAAAACTAAAAACAAGCAATAGGTCCAATATGACTTGACATTATATTGAGACTTGAGATTCCCAGAACTAGACTTGTCATCTCAGTAGAACTCTATTTCTGAATGCTAGTCTAGGCAGCATGTACCTTTCTATACAGAATAAGTCTTCAGAGTATTTTACTAGCCTTTCAAAGATATTTAAAAGATATGCATATCAAAGAACTTCCTTACACAGTTATGTTTTCTTGGACAAGATTAATATTCATTTTGAGCCTTCCTCCGTTTTCTAGGACTCCACTTAGGTTCTGCTGAGTTTCTTGGTCTAGCAGGTTCAGTTGGTCTTGCAGAGAAGCAATAAGCTGGGCTGTACCCTAGCATAAATGCAAAAAGTTACAAAAATTTTGCTCATTTTAGAAGCTATGATTGTAAAGTATGTTGGACAGTTCAGATTTACTCCCATTGCCCTTTGCATGGCCAGACTTTTGTTATCTGTAGCGCTGAGAGTCAGTTAAGAAATCATCTTCTTTTTCAGTGGCTATAAGAAAAGCACAGCATAAACCACTGTGCAGCAATGATGGATAGAAGTCAGACTTGTGCAATCTACTCCCCCAACTTTCTCCCACCCAGAAGAGAACAAAGGTCCTTCAACCAAAACCATTTACAGAATGGAGGTCAGGAACCAGGGCCAAGCAGTTACCAGTTGTATTCCAAATATCTTGTCGTGATCTGCACATATAGACACAAACCAACCTCCAAGTTATTGCATAGAGCAGTATAAAGAGAGAAATACATTGCTCTATATCACCCGAGTCCCCTTTCCAACACATTCAGAAGTAGCCCTACATTCACACCTAAGTGTTTCTGGTATACACAGAGAGAACGACAGAGATTCACACAGGAAACAAATTCTACCTCTCCTTTATACTGTAGAGCTTTCAATGGCTCAAACTCAGGGAAACTACAGCTACACTTCCAGGTCACAACGGGCCAGGGGTGGCTTGTGCAGGGCATCTGATACAAAGGGAGAAAATGCTCTGCATAAAGCTCCTCCCCTGCATATTATGCCATTTTAATAGAATGAACGATTAGGGCTGTACCTTAACCATTTTCACCTCTATGGAATACTAATACACAAATAAAAGGTTAACTTCCAGTAGTCGACCAAGGTCATAATTCTGCCCACTTCTTTTCAGGTGCACTAAGAACCTGTTGCAGAGTTCACTGATCTATTCACTATTGTGCTGCAATAAGAGGAAATACCTTTTTTTGTGCCAGCTTTGCCAATTCTATTTCTTTCTGCAGACTTTCGCAGTCATGTTGAAGTTGAGCAAACATCTGGGAACAGTCTTCTTGTAGTTTACTCAAAGCAAGAGAATGATCTTGGAAGAAAAGGGTCATTTCCTCTTTAAAGCCTGTCATCTTTAAATTAGAAAAGGATATTGGTGTTGACTGTTTTTTTTCCCTGAACTATCCTAGCAGGACATATATATAAGCTAAATATGCCATCAATACAGGATGCAATGACATAGGACATTGCTTTACCTTTAGAACACATTTAAAACTTAAAGTAAAACTTGTTTGATCTCACCAAAGTACAATAGTTATGGCAGATGAAAGATGTTTACAAATACCTTTTCAGCTAGGGATGAATATTTCTTTAAGTTGTTCTGGAGTTGAGCATTTAAATTCAACACAAGTTGTACCACAGGTGACAAACTACTTAATGCTCTGTCCAATGCAGATGAATGCTCGTCCTAAAAACAAAGACTGAATAGTATAACAGACAGTTCTTTCTATTTTGAAGGGGGGAAAGGGAGGAAGTCATGTTACCACACATCAGAAGGACACCAGTGCGGGGAAGGCTGATACAGACATTTAGCATTCTGCCTTAAGCAACACCTCCTATATTGCAGTCTAGTAGTATGGCTCAGTAATGGATGTCCTGGTGGAAGAGTAGGATTGGCAGCTGGCAGCTCGAACCAAACCTTGCCTAGTGATGATCACAAGCATATCCACTGACCCAAGCAGCTCCCTTTTTCATTGTTTCTGAAAAGCTGAAATACTAGTTCATCTGAGTGACTGTTGTTTTTAGTGACTGTTGTCACTAAACAGTCACTCACATCTGAGTGACTGTTGTTACCTGTATGCCAGGTAACTGGGAAAGGGGAGGGAGCATAATTCAGGCAAATAAATAGGTTATGTTAGACCCAGTCAGTCACTGGTTTCTCTTTGTGCTCGCCCTATGAAGTATGCACAGCTCCTCAATCTCTGGGTAAGAGCACTACTGGTATGTATACTTCACACAAGTTTGTGTATCAAGAAATCAAAGGACATCATTATCAGAACAGCATGATAATTGCTCAGTTATTTTACTGCTGACAGCATTTCCACTTACTATCAGTTGCTGCAGATCATTTCTATTTTCCAGGTTAAGTGCCTCCTGCCTCAGCATCTTTTCAGAAGCTAGAGAGACTTCAACTGAAACAGTCTCTTTTAGGGAGGTGAATGCTGCCTCTATAACTGCTGCAGTAATTCCAAAGGCTGAAGAGCTAGCAGACAGAAGATCACCTATTAACAGAAGGAGGGATACAGCAGGTCAACCAAGTCATTTGCCTGTAAGAGGCAAGAGTACGTTATTAATGATTTTATGAACAAGGCTGATTCCAGATTGGTTTTTGTGGGAAGTTTTGAGTCACACAAAGTTGAATAGAAGTACTTACCAGCAGATAATGTGTACGAGTTGAGCATGTCCTGTTGTTTCCAATAGTTTTGATTAACAGATTCCTGCATTTTAAGGAAGAGTGCATTCATACTATCCATAAATGTCCTTTGGGCTTCTGCATTATGCTGTTCAACTGCATGCTTACGATCTAGTTTTGCATGTAGACCAGACACATCTTCAGTGGTTTCTTTAACTGTACTAAGCAGCTGCGAAACAAAGTCTTTGATTACAAAAATGAACACAATGAGGTACATGGAGCTACATTCAATTTGAACATTAATTATTTTAAATTGTAAAAGACTTGTTTATATTTTTTAAACCATTCTATTTTACTGAGTAGAGCACTGAAGACGATCAGTTTGGCCGAAGTGTTTGGTATTGATTCCTATCTAATACAAGGAGTTTTAGAACAGCATATTCATATTCAGCATATTGTTCATTGTAAGTGTGCAAGAGTATAAATTAAATCATATTTTACTGGACTTTTCTGGAAAATACTTTTACAAGTTTATCCCAGTTCTTTTATTCTATTTGTTTGTATTGTTGGAATGTATTATCTTGTCAGTTTCTTGCACCATGGGCAATCTTGCATGCTTAACTTCTTGCTTTTACTAGAATAGCAACTCCACCTGGCATAAGCTAAAATCAACTATGAACTTGCTTCCACTAAGTGGATGGCATGGCTCACCTTTCCACAGAATGCCCTCTTCCTTTTGAGTGAGAAGCAGATAATCACTCCTGCGTCATCATAAACAGATCGTGTTTATGTACTGATGTCAGCTTCAAAATTTTATGAGCTACTTGGAAGACATGCTGTTCTCAAAATTTATTATACTGGAATTGCCTATTAAGCATGCAAATGCTGAGAAACATTTAGAACAACGAACTGTATAACCTTGGTTGCAGTGCCATGAAGTTTCTCTTCAGTATCCTCCAGAACTGATGCCACGTACTCTTCTTCTTCAAGGAGGATCTTAGTTGTTTCCAAGTGCTTCTGGGTGTCTTCCAGTTCTTTTTCTTTGATCTGAAGGTCTGTCCGACACTTTTCCATTTCAGCTTTTTGAACTGTAAATAACTCTGTGACCTGTATTAAGAGAAATAAAAATACATTTATAAGAAATGGTATTATGATGATCAATTAGTAATACAAGAGCCCAATGAAGTTAAACTTTTCATAACTTTACTTTACATAGCTTGACTATGAAGTAAAGCTTTTCATATGATGGGCTAAGTCAAGTTACTAGGAGTGCCTTGTATCTCCAAACATGTGTGTGTGCGCACATGTTTGTTTTTAAGTTACAGAACTCTACCATTAGGTATAGGATTTTCTCATAAGAAATGGAAAAAACCAAACATTTAATTTTCAGAAACCTTTTGTAGACTTTAACTTAGTAAGTCAAATGACACCCATCTCTTCTTAAGCAGAATTTGCAAGTGTACACTGATAGAATAATTTGGAGAAAGGAAGTCAAGTGAGGCAATGTTCATGCAATTAATTACTTTAATAAAATACATATTTTCTAACTCCTAGGCATTTAACTCCTGATTTCCTATGGGAAGTGGCATCAGTTTTGGACAGTTAGTAAGGGAGCAGAACATGAGTACAGTCTCTTCTCTCAATTCATGTTAGAGAAATAGTGTATTCTACAAATGATCTGAAAGAAACATATATATGTTCAGGAATACATACCCTCCTGAACAAAAAATGAGGGAGAACTTTGTGTCCTTTCATGATGGGTTTCAGAACTAATACAAGAAGCTATGATTCTAGAAAAGCCCAGTTGAAAATGTGCCACTCAATGGTTCAGCATTACATCTAAAGCAGGGCATTCAATTTAATATCTATGTAAAATGACAAACTATGGTTTGTCATTACAAGAATGAGCACCAGGGAATCCTGGACCAGCATATTCCCTCCTCCCCTTCCTATGTCCAAGAGAGTTAGAAGATTCAACTTCTGATTAGCCATCTTGCCCAAATGCAACAAACTGCACTTCATTTTAAAATAAGAACCCGAAGTCTGTCTTAAGGCCAAGTATGATTTCCCTCATTCAGAAAAAGCAGAAAATTATAATTTGCTGCAATAGCATCTAATTTTCCCCCACATTGAAAGAAAAGGAAAGAAGGGTGTGCAAGCCTGAAGTTTGCTACTAATCATGCTCAGAACATGTTTTGTTGTTGCATCTGAATGGACATGTTGAGGTGCTTCATTTTAATTAGAAACTGATAGCTATTTGCTATATTAGTTCTATCATCTCATGGAAAGAACTGCATGGGAAAATTAACAGTGCTTTAACTTCAGTAAGCAGTGCTAATAAGTGCATTATATTTTCCTAGCCAGCATTGTCCTTGCTGAAGACTGTTGGTTAGCCACTCTTGCATTCTTAAAATCTCCCACTAACTAAAAAGTCTGAAGCATCTTTTAGATTATAAATACACTGCAGATTCTCAAAACATCCCCAAGACTAAAAACAGTCAAAGTTTAGTTACTTTTTTCAGTTCTTCCTCCATTGCTGCAATCTTTTCAATATACTCTGCAATTTGTTCTTCCTGAACTGTCAAATTCCCATGAAGAGCACTAAAAGCAAAACCACATACAGTGATCATTAAAGAGTTGAATATGCAAAGCATCTTGAATGCTTGTGAGCGCAAAGCAGAGGAGACATATTTGCCCATACTTGACCATTTTTCCTGTTTTGACAGTACTGTGAAGGGCAGTTTCTCGTATCAGTAGCTACTGATGCACATTTTTACATAAGCTATATGAGGAGACCATTTACAATGAAGTCACCAAAATTATACACTTGCATGTGGTCTAACCTCATACCAGTCATTCCACATAGGAACATTGCCTAGGCAGCAGTTAGACAAAGAAATCTGCAACAAAACTTTGCAGCATATCAGTTGCACCATTCTTCAAAATTTGACAAGCTTTAAGAGGCTTAAAGCAATTTAATTCACTTGCCCTCACCCTGCTTCTTTTTCAACTGACACTCAACGCTAGCTTTTCATGCTCATTCAATGGGCTGCTAGAAGTGTTCTACTGTATCTTTCTCTCCTAACAAGAGTGCTTTTGCTCAGGGTTTCTTTGCTGTCATGCTATTGTCTCTTCTAGGTTTTGATTGTACACAGTATAGTTTGTATACAGTATATTTTGCATATGACTTCAAAATTTCTATTAAAGCAAGTGGTTATGATTTCTGGTAAATTTTTATTTATTTATTTATTTATTTATTTGGAATTCTTATATGCCGCCCCATTCACATAAGCCTCGGGGCAGCTTCCAACAGATAAATAAATATCAATACAAATATGTAAAAAATTGGAAACATCCTGGCATAAAAATTATAAAATCAATAAATAAAAACAGCAATTAAAATAACGTTTAAACAAAAAGGTCTTGGCCTGGTGCCGAAAAACAAATAACAACGGCGCCAGGCGGACCTCTCTGGGGAGTGCATTCCATAAGTGGGGCACCACCGCAGAGAAGGCCCTCCTCTGGGTACTCACCCTCCTAATATCTTCACGGAGGGTTCCCGGAGAAGGGCCCCTGCTGCCGATCTCAGGGGGCGGGAGGGCAGATATGGACACAGACACTCCTTCAGATAGCCAGGTCCCAAGCCGTTAAGGGCTTTATACGTTTATAAGGGCTTTAAGTGGCCTGATTTTGATGCCAGTTTTGTTGTCATTCACCATGTGAGTCATGCGAGAGTGAATGAGCAGGTTTTGACAAATCCACTTGCCATAGTGCATGTGCTTCTGCCCTCTGACAACTGGACCAAACTGGGAATCTGCTATCCTTCCTGTTCCAGAGCAGTAAAAGGTAGGCGGGCCTGTTGCTTGGAGGCCAAGGGGCAACTCCCAGCAGCCATTCTCTCACTGGTCTTTGCCAGCTAGTTGGGGAAGGTGTTGAACAACACTAGTCACAAGTTGCTTTGGTACTCCTCCAAGCAACCTGTTCCACCCCTTTTGTAAAGAATAAGTGTGACATGAGGCCATAGTCTGGTATAGAAAAACTGGAGAGGGACTGGAGACTAAGGTTTTTTTTGGCTTGGCCAGCAAGATCAACCAACACCCCACACTCCATAGGTTGAGGCTGATGCCATGTTAACCCTATGCTGCCAGTCTTCTCAGACATACTCACTTATAGTTTTCCAGAGAAATGTAGACACCATTTTTCTCACGTGCAGCTGTAAGGTCTCGTTTCAAGCGTTCAATCTCTTCTGTATACTCCTGTCAAAATATCAGCATAGTACTGGAATGTAGCCTCTGAGGTATCCACAATCAAAACCCAACTATTTAATAACTATTCGTAAGTTCCATGTTCCAACTTATTGCAATGGATGTGGCCTGCAATGCAGTAGGCAAGGTTGATCAGGATTTATTTATTTATTATTAACACTTATATACCATTTTATCTACTTACCTAGGTGGTATACAATAATTTATAATAACAGTATACCATTTATACTTTGTGAAGGCAAACCGAACCTTGATAAGTGCTCTTTTTGTGAGCTTCTGGTTCACTTCAGGCTTATTCATGATATTCTTTGCTCTGTGGGCATATTCAAGAGTACTCAGGGTTTCCTGTTACACAAGAGAAAGAAAAGTTATCATTGAGCAAGTGTCTTCTTTTTCCAGCGCTTCCATATAAAAATGCAAGAATGCACTTTAACACACCACCAATATTCACTTCAAAAAAGGCTGCATTGTGCATATGTGCAGTGCATTCTGCCAACTTTAGTCAGTTCAACACCATCTCACATCAGACTCCTTGGTTGCAACCTGATTTAGAAAGCCTTAACTAACCAATTGTATGAATTTTAAGTTAAGTTGATTAAATTCGCACACATCTGCATTCTAGTAGAACCAACAATTTAAAAAGAAAATTGTTATAATTATTTTTAGACAGCATGTGTGTTGTAGGAAACACCACCTCAAAAGAGGAACTTCCTCTATGACAGAGAGCAGGAGAAATAACTCTTGGAATACAATGCTTTGGTTCTATGACCACAGAATAGACTCATATTTTTATGACTCTCCTGTTTGACTGAGACAATGATTAAAACAGTGTTCATCAATTAATCTAATGTCAACAAAACATTGCAGCCATCGTGTCTGCTGTTCCTCCACTGTAATTCATAAACTTTCAAATGGTCTTATAACATAACTGAGAGACATGCCACCATTTATTTCTTGCAATCTATATACAGTCTACCTGCAAAAGGCCAGGGGTCCAGCAATAAAACTCCTGTAGATCTTCCCAACTGTTACAAGTTTAACTTGGAGGCTAAATTTGCTTCAATTACTAAATTACTTCAATAAAATAATATGAAGGCAAAGACCTTACCTCAAGATTGATGGATGCAGGAGAAACAGTTGCTATTATACATGTTTTTGTGCGTCCCCCGAGAGAGTCCTGCAGGATTCTAGTAAGCTTAGATTCTCTGTATGGGACATGTGGGGTTCTTTCAACAAGTGCAGTAATGACCCTTCCCAGAGTCAATAAGGACTGGTTGATATTTCCAGCTTCACGAGCTCTTTTGTCAACAGCTCCAGAACGACCAATGTTTTCACTTCCTGCCAGATCAACCTATAAATAAGAACTTGCCAAGGTGAATAAGTTTCTGTTGTCACAGGTTGGGATCAGCAAGCTGTATCCAAGCTTGATTGCTAAGAATTATTCTACTAGCCAGCTCAAACACAGTAAGAACATTCCTGAGCACATACAGAGTACTGCTGCTTTTCCACTGCACAAGTGCAACTTCCCACTCTCCTATTCCAAATTAAGGTTTGAGGCTTACAGGATAGATAGCACTAGTTTGAGTCTCTGCATGTCTCTCTTTAGGAAAAAAAAGCCCAGTTCCACATTCCTAGCAAATATTCCATGCATCTGAGTTAAGGAGAGTTTCAGCTTGTACCATCGACTTAATTTTAGTAGAACCCGAAGCTCTACCAACCTGAACAAGACCCCAAGACACAAATGCTCATGCATTCTATGAATCAGATATGGGGATGACTTGCATATACAGGTGCAACTCCTAAGTAACTACTGGGCTGAAAATGCTAACATCACCCTCTTCTTAAACTATGAGCAGAATGAAGATCTGATCAAGAGCAACCAATGCTGTGCTACAGGTGAAGAACACAGAAGCCAAGAGATAAACAATGCCAGCTGCTGTCCATGGCAGATCCTTGTTCTGATTTTTTCAAAGGAAAAATCAGCACTCTCAATCGTTGTCCCACTTTATGACTAGAACTGAGCCTCAAGAGATATATAACTTTCTCAGGCAAATTTTTGAGCACATTTTTAGTCCTGTCATTTAGAGGGGGTGGGGGGTGGAGAACAGACTAAGCAAAAACAGCACAGTAACTGTGAGGTTTATTAACAAAAACTAGAAGTTGCTACCAATATCACACATCTTTACTTTACTGCAAATTACAAGGATGTGGAAAGGTCTTTTAAACATCTGTTTTAAAAACAATCCATTTGTCAGATCAGGATTAGTTAGACTGGTGCATTCAAGGGAAATATGGTGGGAAGGAGTATGTGGAATGTCAGGGAAGGTAAGAAGTAAAGAGGATGCGAAGGGACTGGAAAATGCATCAGAGAACCTACATTGGTTACTTACTGTAAAGGCTTCTTTTGGATTGGTGTGATGAAAGCATCCCAGAATGGGTTAGTGCCCTCTAAGCCCAATAAAAGCAGAGACCATGCAATAAGACTGTGTCTCAGGCTTCACCTGACCAGTTCCATTAATAGTTACAGCTCAGAGGATAAAAACCTATATTTCACTGGAGCAGACTATAACGCTAGGGAATGTCGAAGGCAGAAACTGAGGAAGACAACTAGTCTTGTGTTTACAAGGAGTGAGTGAGGCTATCAAGGGCAGGACTTTTTGGAAGACATTCATTCGGAGTCACAGTAAGTCGAAGATGACTGGAGTGATACTGTTCTGAGTGGTTACAGCAGACAGGATAGGCAGGCTCTAGGATGGAAATCTGTGCATAACTGGTGGACTTGAAGTGTGACTCTCCTTAATAAATGTCTGACATGAAGATGAAAGCTCAGAGGACAGCCAGGTGTAGAAGATACAGACCAGATGGCTAGTGCTCATATAAAATGTCTGGTTTGTCACAAGTCAGAGCCTGCTTGAAGGAATAATACAAATTCAATTACACTAGCAAAGTAAACGTCCAGCTTTTAACCACCACCAATCCCTGAGAAGTTTCTCTAAGGCCCACCTGCTTCAAGTGATAGGGAGGAGGAGAAACGGAGTTCTCCTGAGGGTAAAAATTGGAACTGCTTCCCAGAATGTGTTTGGTGGGAAGAAGCTGGAGAGAGACCAAAAAGTTCTTGAATCTACTCAAAGCCCTGGCATGTCTCAGTTGCTCTTGTGCATAGCATTCTACTGACAGCTTCCTTTCTTCCACTGACTCTGATTACAGGTCTGATTTTCAGATTGAGAGGGTGGCATGCTCTGTAGACTCAAGTGCCTCAATGCATGTGCTCATGGCTGAGTTAGACACAGCCTGGTCTTTTGCAGGTTGGTCTCCAGCGCTGAAGTCAGAAAGGAGACTTGAGCCTATGGGTTGATAGTCACTGCTTGTTTGTGTGCTATCATGGTGGGAAACTTTAATCTCCAAATAGAAACTGAGGGTATAGTGTATTGGGCTCTAACATCATGCACATAAGTAATGCTGCTTGCTTTCTTCATAGTTTTGCAGGTGCTTTCTTCCAAGCTGGAAGGCCTCATAAAAGCACAAAGCAAGATAGAAGGCAAAGATTTTCTGTGAGGAGGCATGGAAGGAACAGCATAAGAAAAAGGCTTCGAAGTAGTCCAAGACAGTTGAGAAGAAGTAGAATGATAGAATAAATTGCAAGGCAATGAACACTGTCCTGGGTGAAAAACAGAAACAAACTGGCAGGAAGTGGCCTGGGACCAATAGATTACACAAGATCTTACCATGGAGTCCCTGCTTTTCCTGGACAGTAGAGAGCTAACCCATTGTGGGAAGCTTTCCCCACAGCAACCTGAAGAACAAGGACAGAACCTATGTAGAAGAGAAACAGATCTAGAGAAGGGAAAGAGATGAGGGATAATTTCCAGAAAGTAGCTGAGTTAGCATATTACAGCAAAAACAACTCTTGATAACTCTGTGCATCTAATGAAGTGAACTATGATCTACAAAAGCTTGTGTCAGAATAGATGTCCTTGACTTTAATGTGCTATAAGACTCTTAAATGATCCTGCTCTTTTCCAACTCATAAAAACGAGCAGTGTGCCTTTAAAAATATGCAGTATGTCTTTCTTTCCAAATATTAACAATCAGTTGAAGCTTTTTTTTATCTTCCTACCCCATTTAAAAATAAGGAACTGGGCTGACAAGGAGATTCCATCTCCCTCTAAAAAAGTTACATTTAGAAAAGTTTCTTCCTATTCTTTTAAACTACTTTTACAACTACTTCTTCCATGCACACTTTTGCCACAGCCAAGGTACAGACTTAGAATTATGAAACAATATGCCTGTGAACACATGCACAGACTAAGAATTTGTTTTCAGTACTAGAACTAAAAGCATACTTCCACTGTACACAAATCCATTGTTTTTCTACTGGCCAATTGATAAAAGATAGCCTTCTTCTTGGAATCACATAAATAGAAGTATTTAGAATGAAGTAGCAGAGGTTCAGTGAGAGATGCCTGAGTATATTTTCAGGAATATGGGTGGAGGCCGGGGCTGCAAAATCCTTTTAACTACTGCTGTGGAGGTCCAGGAAGAGGCTATTGCTGAAGTGGGGTAAAGGCTGTGTAAGGGAGTCAGCTTTATAAATTGAGCAGAAGAAAGACCACACTCAAGTACTACACACTCGGAGTTTGAGATTGAAAATGGTGCTGCTGAGGCCACTCCTCAGCTTACCAATCAAATGTGCAGGATACCTGGGAAGCAAAGAGAAGTGAAATGGAAAAAGAAATGCTTGCAGAACTAGGGAATATAGACTTCCTCCCCTGATAATCAATTCCAGGTTGTTTTAGTAGCCCAATTTAGCCATTGTAATACAACCTCCCTCCAGACATTTGACTTCTGTCATTGGTTGGCCATTTGGAAATAAAGCCTCACCTAATCATCTTTTATTGTGGTTGAAGTGATACTGCATACTTTCTCAGCCCCATCTGTTATTCCTATGTATAATTTCTACTTGTACAATCTTATGTATTGACACTTACCAAATTTAGCTTCCCAATTTTAACAAGTTCTTCTCCATCTGTTGTTGTTTCTTTCATATGCAATGTGACAGAGAACACCGAATGGGATCGACTGCAAATTGAGTTAACAGTTTCAAATAAATATTCCAGTGACCATTAAAAAATAACTTGAACAAAATTCCCTAAAGACAAACCAACTCACAGTAGAGGTTAAATCTGAAGACAAACCAACTCACAGTTGTGCAGAATTTTTTTCCCTTCAAGTTTAGTGAAGAACAATTTTTTTAAATTCCATTCAAAACAGTAAACTGGGCACTCATTAAAGGTTTGCAATAAAATATATTCTCCAAGGAATTCAGAATCAGTTGGATAACTTACTACAGAATGAAAAACAGCCTGGTTTGGCAGAATGTAGCTTTTCTGAACCTTCACATAATTGCTTAGAGAATTAGAAAGCATGTTTACCACTATACCTGAATCAGTGAACTGTTGTCTGCATTTATACTCTAAATCAAGACTGGAAACTAGCTACTTGCATGTTCATGCAAACCATAATGTCTGAGAATACAAGGGGAACCCATGAACACAAAACTATTTCCACTCATCCAAACTGCAGGAAATGTTACTTTGAACTAATGTAAGGAAAGTTTCAAGCAAGTCCTTACAATTACCAAGAATACTTTGATGTAGGCATTGTGCCATGGTTTCGTGTGTCTATCTCCCCATGGTAAATGGGGAGGTAGGCTCTGTTACAAGAGAGGAACCTGAGGCTTCCTCACTAAACGAAACTAAAGGGGATAGGGACGAAGTGCATGCCCTCTCCAGCCTGCAAAGTTTGGCTGGGAGTTGTTTCGGTGTGGTACCTGGTAGAGCTGGAAGTATGCGGGCTTGCCCCTGCACCTTGCAAGAAAGGACCCTATCAGCTTGACATGCTCCTGCACTTGACCAGCACCAGTTAGGAGCAAAGGCACAACAAACTGTCAGGCAAGTATTTTCTGCCCCTCACCCAGTTCCAACCTCAGAACTGGAAAGAGGAGGAAAAGACTTACCTCGAGACATTGTGCTACATTTTAGAGCCCTTAGTTCTGGCTGAAAGTAGGTGCTGGCAATACATTTTTGGTTTGCCAATAAGGAAAAATCTGTTGAACCTCACAAATCTTCCATTCACCGCATATAACTTCTTTTCCTTGAAGTTCATTCAGCCTAATTTGGCTTTTTGCAGCCTTCCCCAACCTAATATCCTCCAGATATTTTAGGCCTCATCTCCTGTCAGTCCCAGCCAGCACAGCCAAAGATCACAAATATTGAAAACTGTAGATCAAAACATCTGGAGGGTCCCAAGTTAGAGAAGACTGGCTTATTGCATGTAGGGGAAAAGGAAGTATCTTTGTTGATTTCTCTTGGTGCCCCCTGATGGCTTTCCACCACAACTGCATTCTGCATATAAAGCAAACAGGATGCATTCCAGTTTAGCAATGCTGAAATTATTGGCTAAGGACACAAAGGAATTTTCAAAGAACTGGATCCAGGGACCAGTGGTGACTTACTTCCTTATCATCCAACACCTTGCCTCTTACTAAACCATCTTGTTAACACAATTTGAAAAGTGACCTTGGAAGGAATATAACCAACTTCAGGAGTGGCTGCTGCTCCATTCTTCTTTTAGTCGTTGTGGTATGTATGTATGTATTTATTTGGAACACTTATATGCCGCCCCATTCACAAAAGCCTTGGGGCGGCTTCCAATACAAATAAATAACTATACAAATACATAAAATCTGGAGACATCCCAGCATAAATATAAAATTAATAAATAAATCTAACAATTAAAATAACTTTTAAATAAAAAGGTCTTGGCCTGGCGCTGAAAAACAAATAACGATGGCGCCAAGCGGACCTCTCTGGGGAGTGCATTCCATAAGTGGGGCGCCACTGCAAAGAAGGCCCTCCACTGGGTATTCACCCTCCTAATATCTTTCACGGAGGGTTCTCAGAGAAGGGCCTCTGCCGCCTATCTCAAGGGGCGGGAGGGCAAATATGGAAGCAAGCGCTCCTTTAGATAACCAGGTCCCAAGCTGTTTAGGGCTTTATAGGTGATAACCAGCACCTGGAATTGGGTCCGGACTTCAATGGGGAGCCGGTGAAGCTGACGGAGGACCGGGGTTATATGAGAACAACGCCCTGTCCCCGTCAGCAACCTGGCAGCTCTATTTTGCACCAGCTGAAGTACTTACTACCCAAGTTCATGGATGGACATGCTGCAAAAACTGTCTGTGAGAAATACTGTATATTAATTTGTTCCATAGATGCTTGGTGCTAGGTTGGAAGAACTGGAAAGTAATATGACCCTAGGGATAGTGGCAGAATAACACCAAAAACATTTGAGAATAGCTGCTTTTGAAGATTAAATCTCTTCAATCTACAAAGAGACAGTGTTTGGCAGAAAGTGGAGGGGGATGGGAAGAGGTTGGTATCCCACCTCCACCTCCCCCATGGATAGTTTTTAAAATACTTGGGGGCGGGGTGGCATGTCCCTTCCCATCCCATTATTTCCTGTCAGCTCTGTACTGGTAACATTCAGTACTTCAATAATGAAGAGAAAAAGCCCTACTGGCAACAGGAGTGGCAAATGGGGTTAGTCCTGAATTGAACAAGGGAATGGGTGATAGTGCAGGCCACTCATCAGCAAATTGCTTTCCAACCTGCCTGAGCCAAATGAAATGGCTGTGGGTATGATAGAGTGACTCCACTGAGACAATAGTTGAGCCTCGTCCACCTCTAGGTTGTCTTCTGAGTTAGATTAAGATACTCCATCTGATTCTAGCTAGTCTGTGCCTGAGTTCCTTTCCAGGTTCTTCTCCACAACAATTCTCTCTAGTTCTTCCTTCTTCAGCTATTTGCTAGCTGCCCTTCCTTGGAGAATTTTATCAATTTTTAAAGGAGGAGCCTAGCAATAGGCTGCTACATTTATTTTCTTAATTGTTCTAAAAGATACGCCTTTTGCAGGAAATTGGGATTGTGCATTTTAAGAAGGGTTTGGGACATGAAATAAAATTTAGGTTTTGAATTGAAGTGAGAGTAGAAAGAAATATATATACTTTCAGTGCTTAGTAGCTAGAGAGTGAAGCGAATACTTTAAAACCTTGACAATGAGAATGAGCTGCAAATACTTTTGTAAAAGGCTTTTGATGATGGTGAATGTTGCTGATGAGTAAAGGATGGAGAAAAAGCCCTTTCCAACTTTCCCCCCATCATATAATGTTTTAAGACCTTCTATGTCTCATGGCTGTTGTTTTGCTTCTGTTGACTCATCTTTACCAATCAGATTGGTCAGCAGCCACTTCTATAGATAATATATGTTATATAACTGCATTTAGTGTAGCAAGGCACATCTTTTGAGGCAATGTTCTATGGAAGCTCCAGTGCTTCTTGGAGAGGCATTTTCAGAATGTGGTGCTAGGGTCTCTGTGACACCATGGCTTGGAGTGCTATAAATGGCTCTACATTGGGCCGTCTTTGAAAAAGAACTGGAAGGTTTAACCTCAGAGAATCAGTTTGCAATTTTGGGTGAGAAATGAAGTCGAACAACTCTAACCAATACCCACAGCAGGAAGTGGATCTTACACCTAGACTTCATGAAGCTGGGAATTCTGAGTAAATATGCATAGGACTGCTCTATAAATTTCACAATTATGACAAATATATATTCTATGTTACAAATTATATATTATGAGAAAGCATAGAATGTTTTTCACTTTACCCTCCCCCCACATAACCTTCTTCCTGAAAATCCACCCCATCCCCACAACAAGGGTTCTTAAATTTCTGTAAGTTTAACTTGATTCTATGAAGAAATCCATGAAGCAAATATCACTGCTTAAGCTTTAATGGTGAAAGTACCAGGGAAGATCATATGGTAGTTTATGCCAAACATGAAATATTTCAGATATAACTGTATTTTAAAAATACTTACCTGCAGCTAGATCACATACTCAGAGTCTGCATAATGAAACGTGACAAGCACTAACAAAAATGAGACACATCCTGAATACCTGAGAATTAAATCTTACACACTTGGGAGTAAGCCACACTGAACTTAAGGGAACTAATTTCCAGATAAATATGAAAATAACTGCACTATTAGAGAAGTGACACACTTTGAAAAGCTATACTGTATCCCACTTTATCAAAAGAAAAATGCTTATTACCTGGAATATTGGTTCAAGTAAGTAGCTGCAGTGGTTCTTTTTGCTGCTCCTCTTTCTAAGATCTGATAGACTTCATCCTTGTTATGAACAGTTATTTCTTCCAAACCTTTGATTATGACACCCCTCTGTCAAACAGAATATGAGGTTAAATATTTTAGAATCCCACAGCCATTAAGGGGAAAACAGGTCAGACTTTTTACCTTGTTACGGGGGTCATCAAACATCTGCAGTCTCTCCCCAACATCTGGAGATGGATTCAAAAGATCGAAGAGTTCCTCATTGTAGATTTCTAGCAAAGATACTTTCACAGAAAATTCTGTACCATTTTCTGCAAGCTTTTCAAATATTTGATGCAGAGTACGGGGAATTACACCAGCTAGTGGATCCTACAGTGAAAGTGTAGAAACATGACATATTAGAATTAACTAGTTTCCTTCAGTGTTTAATCTTTGCACTTTAGAATGCTAGCACAGCAAGTATACCTCTTTAAATGTTTATTTCTACTAAAATCTATTACATATTATTTTAAGGCTACAAGTATTTAACCTTACTTTACAATCCTGTGCATGTTTTCCAGGGTATAAACCCTTAAAATGTTTCCATCAAAGAAACATTAATGGAATTTTGCTGTCAGCTACACACCAGCCTGTTCCAACTAGGTCCCCTGCCAACATGTTGGATAACAATTCCATTCATCCCCAGTCAGCATGGCCATTGGACCTGTTATCTGGGTATGATGGGAATCTGGAATTTCAAACGCCCCTGGAGAGCACTAAGTTGGGGCAGGATGACATGTCCTATTCCTCATTTTCCCCTTCAGAATTCAAAAAAACATATTTTACCTCTTCCCATGTATATTCTTCATTAGGTGATCTCTCCCCTTCCATGGTGAAGGTCTTTCCTGTACCAGTTTGACCATAGCTGTGCAAAACAGGTTTGAATGTTAGCTCCAAGAATATATTTTTGAATTTGAAGATAATAAATAGGATACTCACGCAAACACAGTGCAATTATAGCCCATAAGTACTTCATCCAAAATGGGACACACAACACTTCGGTACACATCAATTTGTTTAGCCTGAGCTCCAAAAACCTGGTGCATTAGAAATAAGATATCATTATCACACTTTAAAATGGTTGTGAAAGAGAAGCTCTGCTATGTTGCACATAGTTGCTTCTGGCTTGTTAGATCATTCTGACTCAGCTGGAGGTTCTCATCTCCCTGACTGTGAGTATATTAACTAGCTAAGACTTAACAGGATGCTAAATCTCAGGAATAGCTCATCAAAGCACTTTGCAAGTGGGTGGCACCTTGGAATTCACAGTACAGAAGAAGCTACCTGGTTGTGTCATCTGGCTTTGGTCAAATAAATGCAAAGCATCTTACTTTGTTTTTTCCCCTAGAGCTGAGTACTGACACTTAGAAACTCTACAAGTGTCAAGCTGACTGGGGTGCATCAGGAAGTTTAACCCAAGCAGTAGCAGCCTGTTGTTTATGTTGGAATCTCTGCAAAAAACAGCATCTATAACAAGTCTGACCTGCCCCTTCTCCACAATCTATAACAAGAGTAGACAAGCCCAGAGCTTATATGCATAACACCAAACTCTATTTTAGTGTTACATCTGAACCTAGCATTGTCTACTTAGACTGGCTGAAACCCTTCAGGGTCTCAGGGAGAAGTCCTTTCTAGCAACTACACCCAATCCTTTTAAAGGGAGATGTCAGGGACTGACCTTGAAAACATCTACATGCATAACATTTGGTCTACCACTAAGCTGGAATCCCTCTCCTCAACTACCTATCTAAAATTATTCCTATTCACCTGCTTTTAAAGGTGAAACTGTATCAAAACTGGAAAAACAACAACTACCAAGAAAATATATTGGTGATACTTACCATATCAAATGTGTAAGTTTTTCTTGATGTTTTATCATTAACCCCTCCTGTGCGAACCATCACTTCTTTCCTTGAATGCTCACACTCCACCACAGCATAGGAATTAGCTTTCCTCTCAGATGCATTGAAGGGCCTTTAAAAACATCACAGGATTATTTTACTTTCAGTTGCAATATATCAGCATAGCTTCAAACAAGTGCAAAGCTGATAAACTTGTAAGTTAGATGTTCCCTCTGCATCAGTAAACGTCAAGTTCATCTGGCTTTCACCATGAAATTTTCACTCACCTTTGATACAGTATTATTTCTAAAAGCATATTAAAAGTGGATTTAGTTGAGGTAGATATGACTGCTTAAGATTATATCAAGTAAAACTGACAAGTTTGCTATCTGCACAGTGGATTTGGATGAAAATTTTGAATCTGGAATATTGTTTATACATTTTCTGTCGCCATAAATGAACTGAGATCCAATTCAGCACATGTATTTGGCATATATTTAGGAGGGAGTCTAGCAAATATTTTATAAATTAAATATTGGTGTATGTCTTAGAAGAGAAAGAATAATGGATAACAAGGTGTGCTGTAATATGCCAAAAGTACCAATTGATCCTTTGTGTCAGTTAAGTATGTGTGTGAATAATGTTTAACAAGAACAGAATAGACCTAGTCGGATATGACAGCAGCATATTATGGGTTAATGAACTCACAAATTTCAGGGCCACAAGCTGTACAATAACCACTTCTTGTTTCCAACATTTGAGGATTGTTTCTGTGTCATCCAAACAAGAGTACTTGGGGTTCTTTGTGAGTTAAATAACCCCAAGTTAATGAACAGTGAAACTTTATGAACAGAGCAATCTATGACCCCTAGTATTTTTTTTCAGATTCCCTGATGTGAAGTTGGAAAAGAGGGATCAGTGACCTGTGTTTAGGATCCTGTCTTACCAACAATTAGTGCAGAAGGAATGCCAACTGCATCTCTGAGGTTGTAAGACTAATTCAGAAAAGGAGTTTAAGGACAAGAAACTAGCATTGCTATGATACAATTTATCCAGTAAACACCTCCTCCTCTGAAGTCTCCCACTTGAACAACCTAAATCAGTTGCACAGTTGTTTTCCAGAGAGCAAGGAATACAGATGTAGCCTTCACCTCCGCATTCCTCCTGCCCTGCATATGATGCCAATAATCCTCCAAATCTAGTTGATTATGGGCATCACCACTGGATTGTGCTCATAATTTATTTACTGCCTTTCCAAATGGAAAGCTCTCGAGGCAATTTATAATTTAAAAAACAAATACAGTAGCAGTAATACAAAGCCAAAACAATAAATACTAACAACAATGCCAGCACTCATTAAAGTCTTTTAGCTACCTACCAGAAATAATTAAAACAACCATTTTGGTTATAGGATAGTCTAACCTGTAAATTTCTCAGGACCAGATTGTTGTTGATCTTCCAAAATCAGTTTAAAGGTACAATCTTATGCCTGCTTAGACAGAAATAAACCTCCATGCTTTTTTGAAAATGTTGAGAGTTGTAGGTTTTTTTCTGTTTAAACAGGAATAGCATTGTACCCTATGCTAATTTTCTTTCAACAGGCCTTTTTAGAATAACATTAACCAATTACTTTACTGACAGGTTTCTTGTTTTTTATTTTATTCATGGTTCTAATCTATACTATATATTTTGTTATTATATTGAGGGACTCTTCCAAATGAAAGGGCAAAATGTGATTGAAACTGATTTTGTCCAACTCAATTACAACATGTTTAGAAGTTACTGATATTAACAGACACACAAATTGCAAATACAGTTTTGCCAGTATGGAAGGCACAGCTGCTCCTCTCACCAGAGCTTGAATTCATAGCTACACAAGAGCTGCTTAACTGTCCAAGTTTGTATGCATAGCAAATTTGATCTCCTTAAATCAATATTCAACTCCTTAACATTGATAATAGAATAATAGAATAAGAGAGCTGGAAGGGGCCAGAAAGCCATCGGGTCCAACCCCCTGCTCAGTGCAGGACTTCAAGCTGAACTATCCCTCTCAGGTGGCTGTCCAGTTGCATCTTGAATGCTTCTAAGTGTGCGAGAGCCCACAAGCTTCCTAGGTTATCGGTTCCATTGTCATACAGCTCTAACAGTCAGGATATATTTCATGGTATCTAGTCAGGATCTGGCTTCCTGTAACTTGAGCACCACTGGTGCAAAAACTTATTTTGCCTCATGGTGCTACTGGCATAGATTGTGCAAGATGTGTCTATTTAACAGCTATAAAGACCTGGAAAAATCACCTTCTTCACCTTGTACTTATGAACAGAATGCATTTCTGTTGATATGCACAGCTTATAATTACACCACCTAAGTGTTTGAAAGAGAAAAGGCAAGAGAGTGAATGAAAAACAGGTACCACAAGGCAAGAATGTAATTTTTTGAAAACAAAATCATTATGGAGTATACCAGCCTTCCCCAACCAGGTGCCTTCCAGATGTTTGGGCCACAATTCCCACATTCCTAACCACTGGCCATGCTAGGTGGGGATGATGGGAGCTGAAGCCCAAAACATCTAAAGTGCATCATGTTGGGGAAAGCTAATCTGCACTAGACATGAAATTTACAGAGGAAGAATCCATAATCAAGAGGACTGACTATTCATAAGTTATGATCAAAATGTGATCCTGCTTCCTTCTTTGCACATCTGCTAGTCCTACACGAATTACACATTGTAAAGGAAGTAAGAGATATGTGCATGTAAATTGTACCTGCACAGTCTGTACCTAAGAGCCAGTGTGGTGTAGTGGTTAAGGACACAGGACTGGGACTCAGGTGACCAGGGTTCTAGTCTGTGCTTGGTCATGGGGACAACTGGGTAACTTTGGGCCAGTCACAGACATCAGTCTAACTCACATGGTTGTTGTTGTGGGGATGAGAGTGAGAGCAGGAAAAAGAGAATGCTGTAAGCTGCTTTGAGTTTGTAAGAGAAAAAGGATATAAATCTAAATAAAACAAACATCTGGGATCCTGCTTTTTTGAAGGAGCTTAGAGTAACATGTCTACTTAAGACATAGCTGATATGTTATATGATCATGAAGACACACACTCTGTTTAAGGACATTAGTTTAAGGAATATTGATGTCCAATATTCTACAAACACTAAGCAGTTTCTTTAAACTCTCCTTGGGCTCACTATTTTTGTACTGTTGTTAATTTGTGCTACCTATAGTTGCAATGATGTCTCTAAATACAGAAAAGAAACAAACACAAACACCACAGTATTGATAATATAACACACAATGATGTCTCTATTAGAAAAAAACCTTTTAATGAGGTGGTATTGTTTTTAATTATTCTATTTTGCATTTTTAAACATTTGCTTTCTCTTAATCTGTAAAATACCCATATTATACCCACCAACTGTCAATCAACTAGAGGATATAACTCTAATGTAAGCTTTTAAACATCCTTAGAGATGTATATAATTTATTTATCTTTCCCCTAAGGAGACTAAGTAGTTTACATGGTGCTCTCCATTTTACCATCACAATGAGTCTGTGAGGTGATTTGGGCTGAGAATCATGGAATGGACAAAAGTCAGCCAGTAAACCTCATGGCCAAGCGGGAATAGAGCATTGGACTGGAAGAGATCCAGGTTCAAACTGCAGGCTACTGTGTTTAACCACCCTATTCCTAATCTAGTCCTCACAAAATGTAAGTCATTCAATAGATATTGTCTTGATTTCCACAATAACTGATCCGCACTTAGTCATATTCAGAATAGACTCAATAAGATTAACTGGGCTTATATTAGCTCTAACCTGATCTTAGTGTGTCTGCTCTAACCTGGCCAAATCTGGATTTAACCCAAATCTAGCAAGGCTACCTTCAGGGTCCAAAGCTGCAATCCAATCAAGCCATACTACTTAGATTATGCCTTAAGACAAAACTCCTGAAGAGATAGCTTTCCATCAGGCACAACCAGACTTGGTGGGACCACTTCCTCGCTCCCAACACTTGGAGGTGGTGTTAGGGATAGTCCACTAGGGCCCTGCATCTCTAGAAGGCTATTACACTGATGCCCATGAGTACTGCTGAAACAAACATATAGTTTCTGAGGCTCTCTACTTCATTTGATTCCCCTGGTTTAGCTGGGTTTTTCTCCAAATGTGCTTCGCTTCCTGCTACCAGTCCTAGAATCTGCCTGAGGTTTTTTCCCCCTGAAATCAAATGTCCTCTCCCCCATAGTACAAACTTTAGAGCAGGGGTCCTCAAACTTTTTCAACAGGGAGCCGGCGAGGACCCATGCTTAGAGTATCTGTACATTGTCATATGCACATGCGTTCTTTCTTTCTTTCACGGGGTAGGTGAGCCCCGGTACCTTACACCGCCCCTGTCCATCGCACGGGCACGATTCCGCGCCGTCGTCGCAACTTTCTTTTGCCAAACCACCACACCCCGGCGAACACTTACCTACACCTCACCACCACTTGAATGTTCTTGCCCTTTTCCTCCTTTTTGCCGCCGCCCAGAGAACTCATCGTCAGACCTCCGCAGACAAGTTGGGTAGGAAGGGCGGAGGAGGGTCGAGCAGAGCGAGCGCCCGCCTGCCTCTCGCTTTCTCCCTAACGGCCGCGGCCGACAAAGCGCCGCCACGCACGAAGCTCAGCCTCGACGACCGGAACCGCCGGCGCCTCGCAGATAGTTTGAACGGGTGACCCGAGTCCTGCTTCCCAGAGGACCCCACTGAATATGCGCGCCAAAACGCAGGCGCCTTTCCTCCGCAACAACTTTGAACTGCTCGCTTCGCTTCGTCTCAGCCAATCGGCGAGACGCAGTGAGACACGCAGGGCAGCATGGGACTTCTTCCTTTTTTTCAACTTATTTCTCCTTAAAGCATAGGCTCGCGGATTCAGGGTCAGGAGTGTGACGGAGGAAAAAACGAAAAGGGGCGGGGTGGGAAGGCGTGAAGATAATTCTTCATGGTGGTTTCCTATGCGCATTGGTTTTTTCTCGCTTACGGATTACCTTCTGTAGGCCATCCTGGAGAAATTTTCAGCGGGACACTGCCTAGGAAGGGAACCTTAGGAAAAGTGGTACGGAGCAGAAGGAGGGATGAAAGAGAGAGATCGGGGGAGGGGGATTGACTGTAAAATACAAAGAAAAAGATGGCAGGAAATTTGGCTTCTGCGATTTTTTTTTTTTGGAGCAGAAAACTGAGTGAAAGGAGTGGTTTTGTATTTTGTATGATGATGGGGTTCAGACCCCAACTCAGTCTTGTATTCAGATTACGGGCAAATTACCTTCCCTTTAGCACGCCCAGTTTTCTTCTGCAAAATGGGTGTTTTGTGAATGGGTACACAGTATATGATAGCCATTATCTGGCTGTACCCATGACATACCGTTAAAAATTTCAAATGTGCCCAATGGCCCAAAAATGGAATATTGGTTTAGCCTGACGAAAAATTCTTGCAAGCAAAAAAACTTGCATCCCATTCCTGTGTCATTTTGGTTGTCTAATACAGTTTAGTAATTCAGGGGCTTTTCTTTGTTCCTAGAATGGCATAGTGAAATATAAAAGAAGATAGCATAATCTAAATATAAAATAGCACAATTAAAATATACAATTACGAAATAGGAGCAACAGTTAAAAAATAAAGGCTTAAAAACAATAACTGGATTAGAACAATTTCAGTTTTTCAAAGTTTACGAAAGCAAAACTGCTTTGCTAGGTGCTGCAATTCCATTCTTGGGGAAAGTATTCCAACATCTGGGGGCCACCATCCACAGCCTTTCAGATGGCAAAGGAAGTATGAGGGGTGGGCCTATGTGGGCAAGCACCTATGGAAAGTCGTGGCCCACCAGGTAGCTTGGCCCCAATTCATCTAAATGTTGTAATTTTATGCTGATGTTTTCTTTTCCTTTCATATAATAATAAAATGGAGATTCCAAATAAGAAACAATTGTGGGCGGAGCTATCGAGTCTCTCTTTTATATCTTAGGTGGAAATTATAGACATTTTTTCTCTTGCCTATAGTCTATTGTTACGTATCGTTCCTTTGGTGACGACGGGCCACAAGCATGCTGGGAATTGTATTTCTCGCTTGTCCGTGTCTTTAGACGTCGCAGGTGGCCAATCAGAAGGATAAGGAAAAGGCCATGGGATTGGCTCCACGACGTGCGTCATATTGCTGCTGTGCGGCGGAGGAACGCTTACGGGGCCTGGTGAGGAGTCGCTCGGGCGAGAAACAAGTGGGTATCTCTTTTGAAGGTGAAACAACAGCAGCTTTTAGTATTTATTATCTTACTGAATGAATGATTTTCAAACATTACATCATACCTCACTATCCAGCCAAAAAGCTCTCAAAGTTCTTTATATGGAATTAATGAGGCGGTTCCTACCTGCACGTTTACTATCTAAAAACATGATGTACAAGAGGAAAGAAGGAGGGAAGGAAGAGGAAAAAAGGAAACTCGGGCACAAATTACCCACACTTACGGAAACGTATCTACTTATATTCACCTAAGAGCAGCCGTTTGGATTGACGCTCATTGTTCAATTTCTTTTAATTTTCTTTGGCCTCTGCAAGCACTGACTTTGTGTGTGCATATGTGTGAGAGATCCTCCATGAGTCCAGAGTCCATAGTTAGGGATGCCAGTTCTTCCAAATATCCCATAATCTCTGACTGTGCTCCCATTGGATTCAGGCTGAATCATGTGTAAAGTAGCCTAGCTGAAGAACTTAAGACTATCAGAAGTCATGGGTAATTTTTCCCATTGATTCCAGTGAATATAACTCATTTTTTGATACTTCTATTCCATTTTAGCCATTATTTCTCTAATAATTCTGGAGCTAAGAGTTGCTAGAAAACACCTGTTGGCCTCACAGAACTACTATTCTTAGAATGATTTTTCAGTCAATCCCTTTTCCCCAGGAACTCTGGAAACTGTATCTCTCTGTTTGAGGAAGAGGTGACCACTAATGGTCAGTACCCTTGACAAACTGCAGTCCCCAGGGTTCTTTGAAAAAGTAATGACTGCTTAAAGTGGAATAAAAGTGTTCTAAATGTGTGGTGTGAATGCAGGGCAGATGGAAGGTAGGTTTTGGAGCAGCAAGGCAAGCTGACCACATGTTGTTGAAGAAGGAGGCTAATCATGAGGGGAAGTGTCACAGAAAACACAGGTGCATGCCTGGCAGGCCTGTGGGAAGTGTCACAAAACACCACTGTTCTTAACCTGTTACAGTCAGATCTCTGACACAGTGGTAACTGCCGGCCACAAACCGGCAAAACTAAGTCTCGAGAGAGACAGTGGGGGAGGGACAGTTACCCTGGTTTCAGCGATCCAGCGAGTCTCCCAAGACCCCCCCCCTTCAAAATAAGTGGGGCACTCCAACCCCTCAAGGGTCCCCCTCACCCCTACAAGATGTTAAAATAGAATTAGAGACACTAGGAAATAGGGTGAAAAAAACCAGACACACTGGTATTGTCTCAAAAGATTACAGATCTAAATCTCTCATTTTTGTTTTTCCATGCTGACATCTCTAGTTTGCACTATGAAAACAAATACCGTAGGCCCAATACTTTTTAGCCCTCTTATGCATTTATATGGCAAAGATACGAGCTGTAACTTTGTGGAGGAACTGTGAGATCTACATGCTAGAACTATAAAGATTTGCAGCTACATTTTGTGCTTAAGCAGAGCAGAAGGCACTATAATTGTATATTCTTTTATACTGAAGTCTGTGACAATTTAATGGATCAAGTAGTTCAGGTAATGTAAAGTAAGCTGCATCTCCAAGTTGCAACAGATATATTATGCAGTTGTGCATGCCATGAACCATTAGTGTTCCATCTCTCTCATATCCTAAGATTCACTCAACAAAAGAAGAGTTAGGAATATTTTATAGATTTTAGTGGAAGCTATATGTAGCTGGGAGGTTGTCGACAGATAAAATGAGATCATATGTAAAGAAATGTTGGGAATAAATTTCAAAAAGAAGACAGAGATCTAATGGAACAGGTGTTTAGGGAAGAGGAGATAGAAGAGGTTATTAATTGAAAAGGGAAACTCCAGGCATAGATGAATTAGGACCAATGTTTTATAAGGCATTTAGAAAGTTGTTGGTACCAAAATTAAAACTTTTTAATATCGTATTGGGTGATGGAAAGATTCCAATGTCTTGGAAATACTCTTCAGTAGTTTTGATACCAAAACTTAAGAAGGATTTGACAGATCCTGGAGCATATAGACCTATATCTTTGAAAAACATATAATGAAGGCGCCAGGCAGACCTCTCTGGGGAGCGTATTCCATAGACGGGGCCCTCCTCCAGGTACTGTGTCTCCTAATATCTTTCACAGAGGGTTTCCGGAGGAGGGCTTCTGTTGCCGATCTCAGGGGGCGGGAGGGCAAATAGGGAAAAAGGCGTTCCTTTAGGTATTCTGGTCCCAAGCCATTCAGGGCTTCATAGGTAATAACCAGCACCTTGAATTGAGCCCGGACTTTGATGGGAAGCCAACGGAGCTGATAGAGGACTGGGGTTATATGAGAATAACGCCTAGTCCCCAACAGCATCCTGGCAGCTCTATTTTGAACCATCTGAAGTATCTGGACTGTCTTCAAGGGCAGCCCCACGTAAAGCGCATTACAGAAATCCAACCGAGAAGTAACCAATGCATGTGTTACTGTTGCTAGGCAATCTTCCTCCAGGTAGGGATGCAGCTGATGGATTAGCTGAAGCTGAAGGAAAGCTCTCCTCGCCACTGCTGTCACTTGAACTTTCAAGGACAGCTCTGGGTCAAGGAGCACTCACAAGCTGCAGACCCTGTCCTTTAGAGGGAGTGCAACCCCGTCCAGGGCAAGGCCCAAGTCACCTACCCAGGAGCTCGAATCACTCACCAACAGAACCTCCGTCTTATCTGGATTGAGCTTCAGTTTATTGGCCCTCATCCAGCCCATTACCTCGGCCAGGTACTGGTTCAGTACAGTCACTGCCGCACCTGGGTTATTGAAAAAGAGAGGTAGAGCTGGGTTTCATCAGCAGAGTGATGACTCCGCAGCCCAAACCTCCTGATGACCTTTCCCAGTGGTTTCATGTAGATATTAAATAGCAAGGGGGACAAAATGGAACCCTGCGGTACTTCATGGCAAAGTTGCCATGGCACAGAGCCAAAGTTCCCCAGCACCACCTTCTGGAATCGGCCTTCAAGGTAGGAGCGGAACCACTGCCAAGCAGTAGTTCCTACTCCCAATCTCACCAGCCTATCCAGGAGGATGCCATGGTCGATGGTATCAAAAGCCACTGAGAGGTCCAGGAAAACCAACAGGGACACACTCCCCGTCTCTCTCCCTGGACAGGTCATCATACAGGGCGACCAAGGCAGATTCAGTACCGTACCCGGGTCTGAAGCCAGACTGAAATGGGTCCAGATAATCAGTTTCATCCAAGAGTACTTGGAGTTGTCCCGCCACCACCCGTTCCACTGGTCTATAATTGGTGGCCATCTCTGGATCCAGTGACGCCTTCTTTAGGACAGACCTGACTACCACCTCCTTTAATATCCCTAATTAGGATATTAGGGAAAGAGTTAGAAGATTGGCAAAATATGATCAATAAATTTTGTAATGGGGATGAGGAAAGCAAGGAATACTAAGAGGATTAGGTATTCTGAATATTAAATTATATTATGAAGCAAATCAATTAAGATTATTGATCTTAATTATTATTAATTATATCTTTTCTGTGGTAGCCATGCATCTTTGCAACACTCTCCCCGATGCAGCCCTTTATACCAAATATCATATTGCAGCCTGATAAGATAATATGGGCAGAGATAGAACAACAGGAAATTGAGGGATCTTTTAAAAATCTTTTTCTTAAACAGGATGATAAGATTGTAAAAAAGAAAGAAAATAACTTTTTTTAAAATATGGTGCAAATTTGGGAGAAGTACAGGGAAGAATTTATGCTGACAATCTCACCAGTAGTTCCAGTCAGAGAAATTAGAGGATTTCCAGAAAATTTGAGAGATAGCTTAAGAAATGTATTAAAAGAAAAAAAAAATATTTAGGGTAAAAGACCGGATGGAGAAAATGGATAATATGGAAAGGATAATGGCAATATTTGGAAAAGAAAAATTACCTAGTTTAATATTATGGACCATTATGGGACAATGGACTAGAGAATGCTTGGAGAAAAATGGTAAGTGTAGATACCTTATGAATTTGAGGAGATTGTGATGTATAGGGAGACTCAAGGTAGTATGCAAACAAGGAGGATTATAAGTGAAATATATAAGATTTTATTAAACAGGGAAGACATAAATGATCTTTTAAAATTTCATGTAAAATGGATTTAAGAGAGGATATAGACAAGGAAGAATGGGGAAAATATGGGATAAGAAAATATTTAAAAGTATTTCAATTGGAATTAAGGAGTTTGTTTATTGACTATGTACTAATGAAAGGATGTTAATGCAATTTTGGATGGAAGGGGGTATTCCTGAAAGAGCAGAATGTTAGAGCTAGAAATAAAGAAGAAAAAAATGAAGAAGAAAAATATTATACAGCCATGGTCCTTGTGGAGGAATGTATGTTGTTGTTTTTATACATATAGGTTCTTTGTTGTGTATCTTGTGTTGTCTCTTTTTTATTGTATGGTGTATTTTGTAATTGTATTCTTTTAAAAATAAAATTTAAAAAGACTAATTCCCTCAGAACCCTGGATAACCAAGGAGACCTTTAAAGGCCTCCACACACAGAGCAGTCTTGATGTGGTGCTGAAAAGATGGCAAATTTAGTGACAGGTAGGCTGTATCAAGGAGATCAAAGATATATGGCCACCACAGAAAAGGCTGGAAGAAGTTACTCCTAAGTCACTTAGGCCACCTGAGCCTCAAGTGACAAAGATGAGTCGAGGAGAACTCCCAAGCTACAAACTGCTTCTTCAGAGGGAGTGCCCCATCTAAATCAGGATGAACACCTCTCCCCTATCCAGTCAGAGGCACCATCCACTAACAGCATCTCAGTCTTGTCTGGTTTGAATTTCAGTTTTTAGCCCTCATCCAGTTCTTTATTGCAGTCCAGCACCAGTTTAGAGCATCCACAGCCTCACCTGCTGACAATGGAAAGGAGAAATAGAGCTGCATGTCATCAATATATTGATAGCAGCGCACTCCAAAACGCCAGATGAACCCATTCAGTAGTTGCAGGTAGAAGTTAAATAGCATAGTAGCAGAACAGACCCCTG